AAAGGCTTTCTTTCTTCCCTTCTTTTTTTTTGTGTTTATTTGTTTGCTTATTGTTCTGTTACATTTATTTTGTTATACATAATTTATAGAAATGGAAAATGTGCAAAAAGTTGCACAATAAAATTTTTATTTTTTTCTAACACCTTCTATTTTTTTTTTTTTTGTTTATACTTCTTTTCTCGTTCAACAACTTATTGAAAATGACTGTGTTAAAAGCAACAGTTCAAAAGTTGGACAGTAGTTGTCAAAGTGGTTTTTTTTTCTCGTTCACAGCAATCTGTTTTTGAAGGTGTTTGTCGGAACGACGATGGCTGATAGACAATGATTAGAATTTGGGAGAACCAATTAAGAATGGTTATAGGTTTACGAAATAAAGCAGCAATAAACATTGACCTCTTCAAATACAGTGGTTATATAGTATTAGAATAGGATTTTTTATTGGTATTTCCATGGTTCAGCAAAGCGTCCAATTTTTTATTCTAAAAAATCATTTCAAAGTATTACTTTTTTTTTTCTGTATGTATTTAAATATAAATAAATGAATAACTAAACATAATTGTATACATCTCCATACACTTTCTTTTTTCTGGCATTTTAAGCAAACTGAATTTAGTTTGGCAGTTAATAGTAATTAATTTAGTTTGTTTTTTCTTGCAAACGGACTTATATATGGAAATATGTATACGCGGAAAGAAGAAGAAAAAAAAAACCGAAGAAAAAAGAATTTTTAATAGTTTTTGAGAATTTTTTGGAAGAATCATTTGTTGACAAATATTTTGCATATTTATTTTTTTTTTTTCTTCTTTTATTTGACAGACTTAATCATTTCTTTTTTTTACTTTTCTTTGAACATTTACAGTTTATTTTGTTTTGTATTTCTGCTTGATTTTTTTTTTTGCTGTTCCATTTTGCACAATTTTTAATAGTTTAATTTTTTTTTTTTTTTTCCAATTTACGATTTCTGAACCCGCAGTTACATTGAACTGTTGAACTAAATTTGGCTGTAAGAGCAGTGTTATGGAAAGGAGGAAAAGGGTGTGTGGAGGTGAAGGTAGGCGAAGATGGGCCATTGGACAATAGGGTTGCCGATTTGAGGAATTTATTCATTGTTCTGCCCGTATACCCCATTTTGAAACCACGGCAATCTTTCTGGTCGAACAGTTTGAGATGTTATAAGGCAGAAAACGAGAACGGGGAA